AATAGCAGCAGGCTGTCAGCCACTGAACAGCTGAAACAGGACCAAACCAGGCCTGGGAAAGGGGAACTGCAGCTTCCTGAGTGAGTCCAGTGCAGATGCCATGCTAGCCTGAAATGTTCACCCTCTGTGAAACCACACCACCTTCACTAATTAACTTGTTCTTCCACCCTCCCATCCTGTGCTGCTGCTGATCTGTCCTCTCCTCTGTGGCCTTTTCCACCAGGTGCTGCCAGGAGAGGAGACAGTCAATACTGTCTGCATTTTTAACCCTTTAGTGGGTTTAGAAAAAAGGACAAAAATATTGTTTTTTCACAAACAGCAGAAGAAAAATCTAGCAAAGGAAGGAATTAAGTGGAAATTAACGTAAGAAGAAAAAAGGAGAGAGATCTGTAGAGAAGAACTAAGCATACAAAGGTTAAACAGTTACTTAGTTTGATTAGCAAAAACCAGCAAAGAAAGTCAAGCCACAAAGCAAGCATGCATAAGAATTCAACTATGAACTCCTGTGTCTGAAACACTTCCTTCTGCTTTCCTCTTCTGCATGAGACAGACACAGAGAAACAACACACAATCCAGACCCGTCATAAAAAGTTGCTATCAAAATACCCCATGCTGAACTGCCCTCAGGACAAGATGTTTGCTTTTGCAGAGGATGATATGCAGCAGCCAGGTTCTTCAAAGAGAAGTGTTTTTAAAGCAGATATTTGCCAGTACTAATTAGTCATCAGCCTGTCTTTTGGATATACAGGGCACTTGCTCATCTTGCTGTGGTACTGCCATGTAGAATTTAAGATATCTAGCTAGGGAACAAACTGACTCCTAGAAAAAAATACATTCAGTATTTTTGGCAGAAAGTGGCTAAAATAGCCACAACAGCTGACCTGGTATTAAACTCTGGGGTCAGCAACAAACTCACTTTGCTTCACCTAACTTCCCAGAAAAATCTACCAAGATAATATGCAACTGGACATTGAGCCTTGCTAGAAACCAGCACCCTGAGTCCTTTGTTGAACTCTGGTCTAGATGCTTAATTGGTATTTCTAGATAGCCTCAAGTAGTATGTGATTGCATTTTCTTCAGCAAATTCCACCCATCCCCAGTGGATGCCAGCTCTGCAGAGCACAACCTTCTTGTGCAGTTGTCTAAAATAGGACTAAAGCACTCACCAAATTTACAGTTCTTTAATCAGGGTTCCCATTGCTACACACAAACACTGACTCAGAAAGCTGAAAGAGAAAAGCATTGCTCTTAGGATGCTTGAACTCTATCTCTAGAGTGACCAGCAGCCTCTGGCATTCTCAGATCTCTCTGGTTTTAATGATTTTGCAAATGAATGGACAAGAAGATTTGCTCCTGCACATCAAAGAGCAAACTTTTCAGGCATAATTAGGATTGGAATGAACTTACACAGATATATTCCAACAAACCCAACCTGTTACTCTTTAACCCTTGGTCACCAGCATCTAACAAATATTTACCCAGTTGAAATTACAGTGCAAAGGTTTCTGCTGAGAGAAGCTGTCAATAAGGCTGAAATACAAGCAAAGAGAACAGGTACACACTGCAGTATTCTGTTTTAAAAAACATTTTCAAAATGCTGTCCATTATTTGACAATATTTTCCAAGCCCTCTGTGCTATCCAAGCTGTCCAGTCACTTTCCTCTTCAGTGAGTTTGAAACACTATTTTGGACACAGACTTTAAGGTCCCCTATAAAGCAGCATCAATGAAACTGCAGCTCCCCCAATGAACATCATTGCCCATCCACACCCAAATATGTACAATGTTCCAGGAAACATTCACCCCAGTAGGGAGCACAAGACCAGGAAACCCTATAGATGCAGAGGACAGGGTATGTTATAAGGAAACACACTCATCACAACCACTGAATATCCAACTGCTAACACCAAAAACCAGAGAGGTCTGAAAGCTTTTTACCATTTTCAGAGAAGAGACAGCAAGCCAAAAACCCTTTTAAATGAAAACTGCAAATCATCAAGACACTAAGGGGAGAACACAGTTGCATATGGTGCCTCTAAGTTTATTTACAGAAGAGATCAATAAACACTGCTCTCACAGATTGTTTATATTTACAGCCTGTCTGGGTGTTATTGTGAACTTATGCACAAGGCATCTCCCACCATGTGAGCTGAAGGAGCTCCATGCAAGCTACTGAAGCTTTATTGATTCACACCAGCTTGGAATCCAGATCATAACTTTCTAATAGCAAAATGTAAAAAAAAAATGGCAGCATTTGCTGCTGCGGCAGTAGATTACACAATACTACAATATAATCAAGGATTTACTTGTTTAGGCATTGACATAGTCATTTTTCTGTTCTCTCACCTCCAGCCTCTCTCACTCACAAGGTTATTGTTACATGCATTTAACATTTTTCACTTTTTTGTACTTGTGGATAGTACTCACCTCTTCTTTGCCACTGTCTGGAACCCTGCAATAGACATCTCCAGTGGACGGATTATAGGAGTCTATGTAGGAGGAACAAGGAACAAATTTGCCACCTATGAAGTTTTCCAGCACTAAGAGAGCCTTTGAGTGAGCCATTGTTGGCTGCTTGCTTCACCTGTGATTTTTTTCAACGAGGCAACAATTCAGATTAGTATGTCTGTATGTATTTGCACAGTGAGTCCGAACTCCTCCCCTGTCTCTCCTGCACCACTTGTTTACAATTGAGAACAAACCCTGGCAACAACAGCAGGAAAGACCAAAGGAGAAAAAAATTAGTATTACTGTGACCCTTGGTTCTTTTCTAGGAGTTGAAGCAAGGAGGGAAGAACAGGACAGCTGCTGGAAACCAGCTTTTCTCTGTCTGAAGGAAATGAAAGACTGAAAAAAAAAGAGAGAAAACGAATGGTTTAACAGGGGAATTTATACCTATAACAGTTTTTGAAGTTACAGTTTGAAGACATTTTGCAACAACTAAACAAAACAATTCAACACTCAAACATCTGGCCAGGAACCTGCTTCTAAGTGTCAGCAGACAAAAGACACTTAAGACCAGCATATCTGCAGCCCACGTTCACTGTTCTATCAGTACTTTTCCTTGTATCCCCAAAACCAATGCACCTCAAACCAAAAGATTTTAAGCAATAAGAAACTCTTTTCCACAAAGATCACCAAACATCAAACAATACAAACAGCTGAGTGACCCCTCAATTGAGAAGCACAATCCTACCTGGTATACTCTTATATGTTGTCAGAAATTCATCAGGCTTTTTCTCCCCAAAAAAGCAAGACACTGGCTGTCATGCTTTCCCTTCCATAAATATTCCAGTGGAAGCCCCTTACTACAGAGAAACCTGTTACATATAATTAGTTTTTCCATTTTTTATAATTAGTTTCCCATTAGTTTAGAACCTAAACTGCCCAGTAAGAGCTGTGTAAAAGACGTGTTCTCCAAGACAATGCTGAGGATTATCAAATTGCTTTAAGATTGCATTGCACCTCCTTGTTCTCCAGAGATATTCAAAATGCTACACCCAGAGAGCAGTATGTTCTCACCAGGAGATTGTGAATATCTCATTCAGGAGTTTAGGAAGGTTTTGCATCCTAGACAACTGGCAAGCCATCAAGTTTCACGTGGATCAACATGCAATCATATTTTGATCGAAGAAAGGTGATATGCTTCTATTGCACAACAACAGATCATTTATGCTTCAACCAAGTGGCACCTCTGGGCAGAGTTCAAATCTGTGCTGAAAGGTAGTGCAGTCATGTTGAAACTGGATTATGTAATACCTCTGCTTCTCCCAAGCTGCAAACTGGGAAAGCTAGCATGCAGTAGCTTTTCAGTCATCACAGAAAAGTAAGCCTCAAAATTTAGTGCAAAACATGTGTGAGAAGAGTTATCAGAGGTTCACCGTGTATTACACTTCCTTGTCCATAAATAGTAAGGAATTTATGCAAGTCTTAGAACTGAAGACTGTAACTGCTCCCTGATTTAAGGGCAACCTAAAGATTTTCAAAGCTTGAAGGCAAGCTCAAGTGGAACCAGTTCAATGCAAGAGCTTGGCAGTATAAATCTCTGGAATCCACCAAGGGCACCTAAACCTTCACAGTGGCATGTTGAAACTGGTAAATATTTAAATGCAATTTTTGGTCTCTAAAAAGACATAACAAATAGTGGTAATTCATAAACTTGCAGTAACAGTGTTCAGGTATTTCAGATTCATAAGTTTTACAAAGGTTATTTCCACATAAAGCATTGCTGATACTTCTATAAATATCCATGCAGGCAACAGTACAATTCATCAATGTGGTCAAGTGCAGGTAGCTGCTGAACTGGGGCTAAAGCACCTAAGTACAAAAGAAGTTATCTACCAAAAAAAATCATGTAGGAAGAGTAGTAGTATGGCTCACAGACCATACCAGACTGTGAACTAAATAACAACTACAGCATTTTAGTGTTCTTCACTGCTCTGGACACAGCTTTACTTCAGTTAACCCCACAGACCGACACTCTGGAGCGAGTGCTTCAGTTCCTGTCTCCCACTACTAACTCTGGGCAAAGGTGAATTGTCTCCACTCTGCACTCACATATAGGTCCTGAAACACCTGAGGTCCTCTCAAAATTCCTACCAATATAACTTCCAAGTTGTAGTAAAGTGTGTCTGTCCTGAGCTGGAGGTGGCAGAAGGATCCTCCTTTAAGCTGGAAGGTTTCATCAACCCCATTACTGAAAAGCAGGAAGGAGTTACAGGCATAAGTCAGCACAATTTGGCTTTAGCAGACACCACAAGATTAAACGGTCAGCCTTTGTTCAAAAGAGCACTAAGTCTGGATGAAAGAGACGTGTATGCACAGTGGCTGCACTGAGTAACATGAGAAAAACTGAAATTATTTCTTCAGAAAGCCAAATTGGATGCCAGTTTCGCATTTTAACTCATAAGTTTACTCTGAAACTTCTCAGTTATGGTAAGTAAAGAATGATTTAACACAATTTAGGAGTGTTTAAATAACAAAAGATGAGGGAGTCAAAAATGCTCAGACAAATTTATTTTATTATTCTCACTGTTTAAAAAATAAAATTAGCCAAATTTGGCACAGCTTCCACTACACAGCAAAAGAAAATCTCTTTTTTCTTAAATAAATTCTGGGACAGGGAAAGCAATCCCATGATAATACTACATGCCATTCTCTTGAAAACAAGGTAAATAGGTTTGTTTTTTTTTTCCCTGAATATGCATTCAATTCAAACCTAAAAATATTTTAGACCAATAAAGTTACTTTACTGAATTAATGTGCAGCAAAAAAGCAATCAAAGAAAATATGTAAACAATTTATGTCTGTAAGTAAGAAGTTTGTTTCATGATAATTCATCATCTTTTTCTCTAATTCAGCTTTCTAATATTTTTCCATCAACTTCTCTAAGGGCTAAATTCCACATGGAGAAACTCATGAGATTCTTCAGATCAAGAAGTGCAACACTTGCAGTTCCTTGTCAGTTGGCATCTTGTTCTGCAGCAGGAGAGACTGATGAAGGGATCCCCAGATGTCTCACACAATTCGACTTTTGTCACCACCATCTTCTCCCCAGTTAATTGCACTTGTTCCTTCAACTGAAATAACTGGATTCTTACTCAGAAGTTTGGATATCTGATTGAGTTTTGCTTGGACGGTGGAAATTCTGTCACCACTGTCATTCTTTAATCTAAAAATGTAATCAAATGGAAAAAATCCAATGGTGAAAAATTAAGTACTAAGTGTAAAATTATCTCGGTGTTTTTCAGTATTATATAGTTGTGGAAAAAACAATTCTTTTTCCACTTAAATTCTCGGAACAAGAAGACAAGTACTAAAATAGCAATTCCCAAATAACATATCAAAGAGGTTATTTAGTCCCAATTCTACAAACATTAGTCTACCTCTAAACATTGCAGATCTAAAAATCCCATTCACCTCAAATTTAATGAAAAATGGGTTCAATCCATCCTATTTCTGGAACTTATTTAAGACCAGACAGATTTTTAGGAGCATTCTACATCCATAAGACCTGTGACTGACCTAGCACATCATTCTTACATATACACAGAGAAACCAGAAAAGCTCATGCTCTAATTCTAAGTTTTGACATTAAATGACTCAGGCTTAAGTTCTCAGTGCCAGAACTTGGTTAATGCACAAGATTTTTTAAAGGGACAGCTGGAGGGACATTCACATTTTTTGCTTCTAGTTGAAGATAAAACATTTATGTTTAGCCCTACAGTCTTTGCTTCCTCTCTGCAGAATCAGAAAATCAGTATCAGCATCAGTAAGAATCAAATGTACAATTTTAACAGAAAAAGACGTTGGACCCAACCTAGACAGTTAAAATGGCCAACACTTCTTATTTACAAACTGCTTCCAGAATATTCATGCAGACATTGCAAAAAGACTGATATATTTCAATTCAAGGGGAAAGAGGAGAAATTCTAAACACAGTAATTTTTACTCCTAATAAATTAGACAGAATTATGACAAGTTTTCCTTACATCTTGCTGAAGCACTGTCTCTTCCTTAGCACAAAAATATTCACTCCGGGCTAGAGGGTGTAAAACAGGTCTTAACCATAACATCACTCCTCTGCAGTACAGAAAGTCTATTACAAAAATGCCATACCTCTGTAACAACTCCTGCAGCAATAGTGGAACCACTGTAGCGTAACATAAACCTCCCCAGCTCTTTAAAATCTTTGTACAACTCTAGAGCAACAGGTCTTTGAGTTTGTAGCTCTACTAGAGCATTCTGGCCTTTAGCCAAGAACCTGCAGGAAAAAAAGCAGAAAACTCTATTAGAAATGTATGCATGGATCAATAAAGAAAAGAACACTGAATAAATGGGAAAAATCATTTTAGAAAGCCCACAGTACAACTATCAAACTTGATTTCAAGTATAACCCAAGCCACAAGACTGAAAACTTAGATGCCTTATTAAAATGTATACTCCAGGCAAATGAGTTTTCTTCAAAAACTTTTTGGCACTCACCACAGCATTTAACAAATTGTTTTGAAGCTATTTATCTTATTAGCACCTGTTTTTTCATGTGAAGTGGAAATCAATTCTTATTTCAACCCCACAGCTACAGAGCCCATTCATTACTTTGCAGAAGTCTGCAAGTTTCAGCCATGAAATTTCTGGAAAAGGATTATTCTGAAAATGTTGTATGTCTTAAATAGCATTTCTATATTAATTTTAAAATATTATTTTAAACAACTAGAGTGTAGTTACTGTAATTGTATGGGAAGATACCCTAAATTTCTTTTTTTTGCACTGACACATTGTCTAGTCAAGTGTGTTTTAGGCAGTTAGAAATCTCCAGAATTATATAAGGATCCCATGCTTTAACAGTAAAAGAAGAAATACTGTTAAAAAAAAAAAAGAGAGAGAGAGAGGGAGGAAAAAAATCCTTTAAGTTAGGCACTGCTGATCTAGGATTCATTCCCAATTATGCAAGTGACCTTAGGCCTAAATCACTGTACTTCTCAAGTGCTCTGCAGTTATCAAGAGGGCAGGAGGCTTTTCAGTTTGCAAAGCACATTGAAATCCAAACATGAAACCAACTAAAACAATAAAAGCATATTCTTATAACATACAATTGATTCATAGTAGAACCTGTTTGATATACTGTGTATTAAACATCAACCCATTTCTTGAGTAATTATTAACTATTCATAACACTTACTTAGGTTTTTTCTTTGTCACTTCACCAGTACTTTTGTGCAGGACACTCAACAGTCTTGTAATAGTAGCAGGTTCACTTACTGTTTGATAGTGTAAAAGCACCTGAAAATATTTTTGCAGTTATTAAACATCCTACAATAATCAGCAATCCTAGGTGTTAATAGCTGAAAACAGCAGCTTGCTTTAAGACTGAATTTTTTTAAACAAATACTTATAAACCTTCTCTCACAGGAGTGTGTGTCTCACACCCAGTAACTGTTCCTAGTTCCTAAACTTTGTGATCAAAACTGATATGACACAAAGGCCATATTTCATGTCATCATAAATACATTTTTCATCCTTTAGTGTTTGGCTTTTGCCACTTCAATGCAGTTCTGAATTGATATTTTATTTATTTTAAAAAGTATCTTAAAAGGTATCTTACACTTAAGTGCATCACTATATTTCCACAAGACATGAGCTTCTCAAGCCTAGCTGTGGTGGAACTCACATTCTCTGAAATGGCTCAGCTATGTAGTAAAAGCCAGTAAGAAAATGCATAAACAGGCACCGTAGCCCCTTCTATCCACTTCAAATTACAGAATAATCTGTTTCCTCTGGAGAGACAGAACCACTTCTGGATTCTGACTGTGTCTCATATTCAGGAGGTCAAACAGAGAGAGTAATCTGCCATGAACACAGTTTCCACAGAGACTTACAGGAAATCCTTTAGTGATTGGAATCTCAATATTGAAGATGAGAATCCGAGCTCTGAACCGAGTACAAACTTTAATGGGTTCCTTGGGATCACAAAATACACAGCCCACACTAGAAGAGAGAACAAAAAAAAAAATTAAAAAAATAAATAAAACAATCTCTTGACACAGAAGTGTTCAATAAGTATCCTTTTCCAGTGCAGTGATTAAGACAAGCAAAGGAAAAGCAACACCAGTTTAATGTAAGCAGGGCGGTGGGGGGTTGTAGGTGTGTGGATCTCCAGGAACACTGTATTGAAGCCTGTAACAAAACGCGTTCCTAGACAATGTCTACCTTATTTTGTGTGTATGCATGAAGGGCTCTGTCTAGTTCAGTGAACAATTACCTCCATTGCTAATCAGTTTCTGAAAATGTCATTGTTTCCTGTGCGTAGATATTTTTAAGAATTAGACTTTCATTCAGAGATTCAGGGTTTCCGTTCAACAGCATAAGATACTGCAGGGTGCCCAAAATTGCAGTACTGCTGCCTGTGGCTCTAATATTTTTAGGATAATAAGGGAACATCAGGATCAGGACTCAAAACCTGAGCTTTCAGCAGCTCTCATTTCAAAACATTCTACTTGGAGTCACAATAAAGCTGCTGCTTGTTACAAGTTGCTAAGTAGACTAGACACAGCTTTTTCATAGGGGCTACTTTTAGCCATCTGAAATGAAAGGAAAATTAATCCCACACAGGAAAACATGACAGAAGAGAAAAAAACAGCACGATTAAACATATACATCAAATTTCATCAATATCAAAAGGACTTGAAAATTCATAGCTTTTTTTGACAACCCTAACATATCTACAAAAGATGAAGACATCAATGTAACAAACTGACTCAAGACTTCATTCCACAACTAGAACAAGACTTCCCTCAACCTTTGACCACTGAGAATGCCACCCCACTATGAAATGGCAACACAGAATACCTGTACTTTTCCCTTAAATCAGAGCATAGATTTGAAAAACTATCAATGCAAGGAGATTTTCCAAGAGTAGCTTGAAAGTTTGCTGTCTGAAGTCCAACCGAAATGTAAAAAAGGTGAACAAATTGTGGATCCAATTATGTGGCCTAAACAACAACTGACACTTAAAAGCTTGAGGCTAATGCACAGCATGAATCCTACAGACTGGAGAAGACACCAAGAGGTTTGCTGCACCTCACTATTACACCACCCCTTAGCAAAACATTTAGGAAAATAAATCTTACAATTAGCTAAATGTGTTGAATAAACAGGTTCCATCAATTCCCTTGTACAGATTTACTTATTAGTACAAAATGACAGTTTGCACGTGTCCTGTTAGAATGATTGATAATTTGAGATGTTCTTTAAATTTTTTCTGTTTTATTTAGCAAGGTTGAATTTATTTGGCAGTTAAAATGTCCAAGGGGTAGTCTAAAAGAAAAGGGCTTGGAAGGTTACTGGTGTCAGCACTAGGGCAAAGGAAAACTGACAGTATTCTTCTGAGGCTGCCGTTGCACATGCAGCAGATGTTTCCAACGTTTGTTCATGCAGGCCAGGTGATATGCATCACTTTGGTTTTAAATATCCTGGTAGCCACATCATTCTTCAAGTAAACCGCTGTAATATAGCCCAGTGTAATAGTTATACAGCTTTTCATTAAAAACAAACCGTTACTTAGACTGAAACCCAGTTTTGCTCACTTGATTTTGATGATATCCATGCCGGTCAAAGTGAGACTAACGTGATCTCCTGCTGCAGCCCAATCAACTGGTTCATCGTGCAGTGTGATTCCTGGAAATGAGTAAGAACAGAACCTCACAGTGAAGTACCTAGGTTCTGAGCTACAAACAAACAGCTCTGTTTGGGCCATTTGTGCTTCATCAACCATTACTCATCAATTTTCAGTATGAATGGGTTGAGAGTAAAAGCTTTTTAACTGAGAAGACTGAGGAAGCCTTTCTTTCCCCTTGGTGAGGATTCACTATTCTCTCTCACCGCACCCTGCACCATAACATGGCCTTATTCGAGCCAGAGGAGGGGACCTGGCCCTTGCCACCAGCACAGATGACGCAATCCTGAAAACGCTGCAGTACTAATATCTCCATATCTGCCCCACCCATCCTTTGAGGCACACGCACACCCTAGACCGCATCTTTCATGTACTTTAATGGTACTGTGTCAACTTTCATTTACCTTGAGTGGGTTTGCTGACTCTTTCATAAAAAAACCTAACTGAAGCCTTCCGTTCACAACATCGTGTCTATTAGAAAGCATCTTTACAAGCAACTGAATTCTGATTTTTATGCGTTTTAATTTCTTTAAAAGACAACCTGCCTGATTGGTGAGGGCAAGAATAATTAGCTCTGATTGAACATCCTGAGGTTTCTGGTGGACACCAGGAGAGAAAGAAGAAAACTGTTTTTTTAGAAATAGGATCTAGTTCTATTTTGCTGCAGATTGTACCTCTTGACTTGCAGATTTGTTCCCAAAACCACTTGCCAAAAACATGCCAGAAAGCATGATTCAACTATAATCATGTTAAGTATCATTTTTAAACAGTGCTGATAATTATTGATATATCTGTCATCATCACAGAATGAAAGAAATTCAGCCTCTTGAAATGAACAACTTGAATCCTAATGCGCACACTGCCTAAAGTAAATACTGTATGCTAAATTAAATTATTACTTCTTTACATTGAATATAAATAGTAAATGCCTAATGAATTTATATGCCCAATCTTCATTTGCATTTCAGTCATAGGAGAGGCAGTACAAAAGAAAAAACATAGAATCATGCTGCAGGAGATACTCAGACAAAATACATCTGTTTCCATGGTACTTCTTCCACGCCCCACACAGGGGAGTGACTACAGTGGTCTGCTACCCAAATTCATCCACATTATTGTAACATTCCTGTGCATGTGAATAACGTGCATAGAACTGTGTGCGTTCATAGACTGAAGAGCTTCCCAAATTAGCACCAAACAAGCCGGTTTGGAACAGAACAGACAACCAAATCAACACATTGCTGTATTCAGGCTAAATACTTAGATACAAAAACCTATTCATATCTCAAGGACTCAATTTTTTATTCACTGGCCAATGTAGGAAAATCATAATTTTATCTTTCTATTTGCATATGAAGCAAAACCTACTCTGCAGCACAAAGAAGCAAGCTTAATCAGGAAACAGCTAAGCACTTAATGTCTAGCTATTTCTTTCCAGAAATCAAATATATTGAAATTTAAATCCGATTTTCTTCTATTTTCTAGCTGTTCAAGACAACTATATCCTGGAAGTTTGATACTATGAAAGGATCAGTGACAAATCTTACAACATCAAACAGGAACGATGACTTTATTCTCAAGCTTTTTCACAACCAATTCATAAGATTAATTTCTAAAGGTTGTTCAACATCCTCACACTCCTAGCAGAAGCCCTACACAGTAAAGCTGAATACTAATGATTCCTGTACTGAATATCTTTACAGACATTGCTGGAACTCAAATGCTTTTACAGGCTCTTCATAGAGCCATGTCAAAAGCCACAAGGCTATAACATTTGGATTATCTGATACAGTAAAAAAAAAGTATTCGAGATTTCACATACTCTTCACAGACATATTTATACAGACACAGTCACATCTAAAGAAATTCGTTTTATGCTTTCACAATTTATGTTTGACAGTTGGTATCAGTTTGACAGTCTGTTACCATTTCAGTAACTGTTTCTAGCCCAGTATTGACCTGAAAGTAAACACGCTTCTGAAGACTGTACCTTTTGCAGTGCAAGTTTCATTGGGAGGCATTGCCAGAAGTCGTTCTCCAACCTGAATATAGCCTGCTTCTATTTTACCAGTCACACAAAATCCTGAACCTTGGTCTGTAACAAACACAGCAACAATTTCAAAAAACTTCATAATACAGTCAGTTTCCCATCAGAAGTTAAGTCCTTCACCAATGCACAGACAAGTTTTTAATATAGTGAAGATTTTTTTCCCCTTCTCAGCAGTGTTCAGTACTTGCAAGTTAGCCAGCTGTGCATCATAATGAAAATGAAACATTAAATTCAAAACCTCTAGATCTTATATTTTTCAGAACTAAGGAAGAAATCTTCTTCTTTAAACAAATGTAGGTACATAAATAAATATTTTTTAGTTTTTTCAGTATTAGACTAAGCCCCTTTATTTCTAGCAATATTATTTAATTCAGCACTTTGTCAATATAATTACAGATAAAAGGAATATGACACACTCTCACAATTATTCTCATGCATACAGGTGCAAATTTCTATGCCATTTACTGTTCAACTGAGTCAGAATCCTACATACTCTGTCTGCATATTACTTTTACTCCTGGAAAAGTGAAAGAATGATTCAGTACTTTTTAATACGAGAAACTATTATAACTGGAGATGATTAAGTATTTCTGAATAAAAGATCTGCAAAATTTTCATCTTCAATATCCTAAGAGCCTGTTCATCATTTGAATGATATGCCAGTTACTTTCCAAAGATATTCTACACATGGATATTTATGCACATACACCTTAACAAATGCCTCATCTTCTTAGCATGTGTTTGCAGGTGTGTTTAAAAATAACTCTCTGAACTGATTCTACAATGACATTTTCAGTATCCACACAAACAACAAATAATCTTTTGCTGAACATCAGAATTCAGTGATACAAGAAAGCATCTTAGTATTTTGTGTCTCACATTAAATTAAAAGCTGAACTTAGAGCTGAATTTAAAAGAACAAGTAGAACTCCAATCTTGAGGTCACTTACTACTGACTTGCTCTTTGCATTTACCACAGATACTGATAAATGCTTCTGTGTAGTGAACGCTTCCATCTTTCTATCTGGAAAAATATTACCAGTATGCCTGCATGCTAGTTTTCCTCTATTCATGCCAGCAAATGACATGAAACACAACAATTAACAGATGACATCAGATGTCAAACAGAAAACTGCAAAGCTGATACTGGCTAGAAAAAGAATACCCAAGTCACGTTACAGACACCACCTCAATACGGTACACAAAACAACCTGCAGCTGGCCTTGCAAGCACTTGTGGCAACCAGAAACATGACCTGATTCCAGGTTCTCAGCCACTTCCAAGCACAATTGAGAACCATTTATCTTTTGTTCACATCATCACCAGGTTTGGCTTGGTAAACCAATGTGGTCTTTGAAGCTTCACCAACTCCTATGCTGATTGCTTCCTGAAAAGTGTCAAGTTCCTTCAGTTACCTCTGAAATCAGAGCAAGTGCAAAATGGACAGTGGGGGACAGAATCAGAGCATAAAAAATGGCCCAGTTTCTGTGCATCATGGTATTTGGGTTCTGCCAGAACATGCTCTTTGTACTCAAGATTTGGTTGGTGGACAAGGCATTTTAGGGTCAGACCAGTCATACCCTAGACAGAATTATAATATGGTAAGTGGGGACTGATGCAGCAGCAAAGGGATTTACACATCAAGAGATAGTTAGTCTGGAGAGAATGAATATTAGGAGGACTGTGGAGGATAACAGCTAAAAGCTGGCTGAGGCAGCTGGCTCTGAGCAGCCTTAATAGAGAAAGGGGTTTTCCAAACGATGTGGGGAGTACACTCAGCACTCTCACTTTTTACACACTTCTGTGGACAGCTCCTCCTGAGCATGCACAGGTACTGGAACAGAGCTGAGAACAACTATTGCTTCACGTACTTGTATCTGCAGCTACTTCCTCTGGTGGCATCAAAGTTGATCAAGTTTTGAGATTATAACATAAGAAAAAATAGCCTAAAAAACCACCTAAAAGACCACATTTAGTGATAAACCCTCTATACGTAAATTGTGTCCCTTCCAAAGTCATTATTTTTTTGCATACTTTAGCAAAATAGATGTAGTCAAAATTGCTCATTTTGTGAAACTTTTCTCAACCCAAAAATGATTATTTCAGCTGAAAAACTGTGATATATTATTTTGAAATATCTCAATCAATAATCCAAAGACACTTTCCCACAGTTCATAAAATTAAAGAGGGAAACATAAACACAGAGATGGCATAGATGACAAAACCAGTAATATCACACTAGGGTAATTTCCCATGCAACTCTTCAATATTTAGCATTATGGCTTCAGTTAAATCAGCTAATTAAGGGCATGCACAATATCTAGTGTTTTCTCAAAGGCCCACGTGAAAATTGCACAAACCTGGTATTTCCAGGTTTATACTACTTACAATCAGTATTTCGATCTGATTTTTTTGTATTTCCCCTATAAATATCCTAAATAGAAAGCAAAATTTCTTAAAATATGAATTTCAACAATCATATTCGATTACAAATATTTACAACAGTTCAAATCATGCTGTCATTTGGTTTGCAACATTTCTCAAGGGACCTACAGAATATTTCAAATGGGCTGAGTCTAGAAGCCTTATTTCTTCTAAGTTATCTGCAATTGTAAATGACTAAATGGGGGAAAAAATGAAGTTTACCACGAAAATCTTACAGGCTCAAGGTACTCTATTTCCACCAGACAACCAAAGTAAGAACTGGTTATATTTCTTGCTGTTCCTATCTTTATTAATGCTAGGGAATAGCTCACTGACTTAAATCCTTGGTTGGTTGTCACAGTCTCACCACCACCACGATTTTCTTCCACCTCATCTGTCCAAATTTTTATACAAAAATTAAGGAACATTTCATTATTCACAACTACAACAATGAACAGAAAAGGAACAAGACAAACTTGTTTAAAATCTAGGACTGGAAAGCAAAAGAGCCCAAAGCCACACTCATAAAAATTTGAGAAATATTGATTTAGTCCAGCAGAACCAGTTTGGGAAAGTCCCATATTCTGTCCCACAGAACCATGAACTCATTACACAGACAAATAATTGGTCATGCAGATTACCTTCCTTAATCTTTTCCAAGGTGTTTCACCTTCAGCAATACTATTTAAAATTTGGCAAGGAATAGAACTTGAAAATATCCTATTCTGGTCTAGGACTACACATGAAGCTCCAATTTTAAGTCTTATTTTGACAGCATTTTTTAACACTTGTGTTAAATATTGGTGAAATGATGGTAAAAACATTATAAAAACAACCAACCTTTAAAAACATCAGCAACACACAGTCTAAATGGTTTATCCACTGATCTCTGTGGTGGCTTGAAAGAATCTGCAAATAAATTGATAAGATCTTTTAGAATGTCTGTATTTAATAACTATCTCAGCAACTTCTCTGTTAAGAGAAATTAATTATGTTGCATTCCATTGACTTTGTTTCACATTCTCCCCAAAATAAGTTTTAACACACACAGGACTAAGAGGTATTATTTTAAATGAGGAAAATTGCACTTACCAATTTGCTCCAACAAACACTTTCCTTTATACCATTGTGTGAGGTCACTTGACTGACCCCTTGTGACTAGATTTTCACCACCAAGGCCACTTGTTGGGATATAAGCCACATCTGACTCCTAATAAAGAAAACAAACAGATGTGAAGCATACATTAACAACAGAATCTCCTAGCAGAAGTTAGAGGTGCATTTTTTCAATGTTATGCATCTAAATTTTAAAAGAATAGTTATCACATTCCTATTTCCCCTGGAGAAGGCAGGTTACCCAGTGAATCCATTTCCTCTGTGGTTATCTCTTGCCCAATCACTCTGCTCCAACAAAGTGATAATTAAACATGATGGTATCAATGCTGACAACTAGAAACTGAGTTCAGGTAATAAACTCCTCCATGTTTGACAGGAAAACTTTTGTTTGAATTGCTGCTTTATGCATAGAGATTGCAGGAAGACCACTGCTAGTCCAAATGAATAGTAGTTGGAATTCAGAAAACATGAGAGGAGGGTTCTCATGAGCTCACAGTCCACAGTGATACCTGCTCCAGTATAAAACCCTCTACTGTAATTCATGAAATCCTGAACGTTAAGATAGACAATTCTTTGTCTCTTCTGCTTTGTAGACAACAATCCCAAGAAACTACAAGTGATCTAAGAACCCCAAAGATTCAACAGACCTAAACAAAGATGATGACACAAAGAGTATTAAAGAACTGACTACTCTTATGCAGGACTCGGTATCACCCTACCAGGAAGAAAAGGCATCTGCTACATTATGTGCATGTAGCAGTAGCAGGAAAGCAACACAAAATAACCTGACTGTAGGAAAAGCTTCTCCCACCCAAATCCTTGAACAAAGCAACAAAGGCCTCACAAATATATTACCTTAAAGCCAGCTTGCTTAAGAAATTGGCCAAGCTTATTTGTAATTTCCTGAAATCTTTCCTGTTGCCAATTGACCTAAAATAAAGCACAGATTATGATATGATAATAAAATTACAGATTTTTAACCATGACTTGAACATACAGCTGCATGTCATCAATTCTGTAGTAGAAACAGATGTGTATTTATAAACATGAGATTTCCAGGTGCATTCATACTTGAATATATAAGAGCATACACATTAGCAACTACTGATCACAAACACCACTAAAATTGCAAGCCCTTTTAATTTCAACAGTAACTTTTTTTTTTAAGCTTACACAAAATTCAGATTCAGTAAGACATTCACTACAGTAGTAACTTAAAACATAAATAGTAATCTTTAACACACTTTGCACATTTAAATAAAACTATTGAGGTCCTCACCTAAATGACCACCAAGATGATCTTACAGATTCCACTGAGATCAACTGTTATGTGAGATTTCCACAAGTACAAAAGGGACACCTGCTCATTTTAGCACCAAAATTAACACACAAAATGTATTTTGAAAATACACCCATAAATAAAAAGAATGGCATAATAAAGTCTAAACACAAAGAACAGAGCTGGAAAGCAAAGAAACAATGCTTTACTACAAGTTTCACAATACTGATCCTTAAACTTAATGTCTACAAATCCAGACAGAAGCCCCTCACCTAAATGAAGAAACTAAACATGTACCTGGTCCATTTTATTGACAGCAACAGCCAACTGTGTCACTCCCAGAGAGCGCACTAATAATCCATGTTCTCTAGTTTGTCCACCCGTCTCAAATCCTGCCTCAAACTCTCCTCTGCTGGCATCCACAACCAAAATTGCCACATCAGCCTACATTATAAAGAAAAAAAAAAAAAACAAAACAAAAAAAGGGGTTAAGAGGGGGAAATAATCTGGGTAAATACCTCAATCAGTAACATTTCACACAAAATGTACTTCACACAGAAAGAATCCTGATGTGCTCCAAATGTAATTGAAACTGCTCAGTCCCATCTGTATCATACCCACTTTGGTGAGATATTATGGCATTATGCCATCTTATGTCAAAAACAAGCACCTCCTGGTTAAACACAGGACCAACTGCTCGTTTGGGGAACCTGTCCCCTTCAATCTACCCACTGTGGATGCTGCACAGATCTAAACAAAAGCAGCCTCCACTCAGAAGCTTTAGAACACAATGTATGAGCACAATGTCCAGTTCTCTCTGCCTCAGTCTGTACACTGTCTTCTTAGTGAGAAGCTGCAAAAATTACAAACAAATCACCACACTATACAACTGGGACAACCAGTTGTACTGTACTGTTCACTGTATGTTGGATGTGAATGCTTCACAGTCCACTCAACACACTGGAGCATGCCAACATCACAAGGTGGCAAAAGACAAAGCAGCCTATTTCATCAGCTAGACAAATCCTCTGCCAAAGCATTAAGAGCAAACAGTCTATAGCACTGCATAAAAGTCAGCATGTAAGCACTAGGAAATACACAGATCTTGCTGTTAGCCTTAATTGCTGCTAATATTTCTTGCACTTTTCCTGCTTTGGTAAGTAATTGCCAGTTAAATCATCATCATGTACTAAGTGATGGCAACAGATGTGAACAAAGGTACTGGTGTCAACAGGCAGGTGTAAGACAATTTCAGAGGACTGAGGAGATGGACATAATGGAAAGAGAGAAGAAAAAGCAGTACTTTTTCCCTTTCCTTAAATGCTTATGCTTCAGAATTCCAGGAAAAGGAAGAGAGTCCTGATTCTGAACTACCCTGGCCTCATCCTCGGCATGAAATCCCCAGAGCTCAGAGACAGCAGGAGTGTGAGAACAGGAAAAGGATAACTGATGAATTTCCTCAGAGCTCCCAGCCTCAGAAGTGCATTGCAGTGAACTTCTTAACAAAAAAAAAAAAGAGACATTCCACATTTTCTAAATTATAAAAACAGTACCTCAAGGACTTATTGAATGTGTATCAAAGGCCAGATGCTGGCCTTGATAAGGCTGATTTTCATTTTGCGTAACAGCAGCTGGGGGTTCACCTCCTAACAGCATTCTCCACAATAAAAAGACACTAAAGCCATTTCCAGCCATTGCTTCACCACTGAGCCTGCTCTAACAGGCAACAGAGAGTTGCAAAGTTTCAGTGATTCCTTAACAGGCTCCAGAACAGACAAGTCCCTCATCACCCTGAGAGCTGGAACACAGAGATACCAAGCTTTATTTGGTCAGCCTTGCCTTCTGCTGGACTGATAGAATTGCTGCAAAATGTGCAACTTTTCTCTTAATACTTCTGCCTGTGTTGCTTTTCCCTCAAAACAAAAAAACTATTTCAACAATTGTAAAAAAATACCATATCTGAGTAAACATTTTCCACTGCTCTGAAACCAAAGATTCACTTCTAATTTTAAAACTCATAAAATTGCTACAACACATATTCTGCCATATAGATGGCTGTATAAGCACTATACCATAATTTGAAAACTTCTGACTACTCTGCAGCCTAACCACTGGGTCACAAGGTTTGAATTCTCACCCAGGCTCTGCTTCAGAGCTAAAGCAGAACTTGGGACAAACCAATCTTCCTACAGTGCAGTTCTCTATCTAAGATCATACTAGCAGTACTCATCCAAGTACTCAAAGATCTTCAGATATAACCCATATTTCAGACAGTTATGACACAGACAAAGCAAAAACCAATATGGAGCTTAGCTTTCGAAAAAAAAAATTAAATCTCTACTCTGGAGAATCAATTTTATTATTTACAAAAGGGTGCCTTTAAGTGAAAAAAAAAAAAATATGCAGCTTAGCTTTCAAAAAAAAAATTAAATCTCTACTCTGGGGAATTAATTTTATTATTTACAAAAGGGTGCCTTTTAAGTGAAAAAAAAAAAACAAAAACAAGAACAAAACTCCTTTTATATCATGTAACCATGTTATTTTTTCCCCCATCTCTGTGGTATTATTTCCACAAATAATAATCTATAGGAGACTGGTACATGTCATACTGATCTCAATGGGTAGTGTCCAATGCTACTGACTTCACCTACTTTTCCTAAAACAAGTGGCCTGCAGTCTCTGCAGATCTGACAAGATTTATCTTCTTGACAAGATAAATGCATTCTGTATAAACTTTGTTATCTGTTTTCTCATCCCCTACAAAATACACTGTAAAACAGAAAAATGTGTTCTGCTTGACATATAAATTCTTTTTCTTTAAGCTCAAAATCACTTAAATTCTTATCCTACAATGTGACTTTCACAGAACTACTAACTGAGTAGCCATATATCATATCTAAATAGCTTTCAAAGCTCAAGTGTGGTTTTATCAAACTGCAACTTACTATTAAATTACTTGCATAATAAAACCCTCCTCCCAAACATTAGCATCAAAAAAGCAACTACCTTTAATATTTAACAAACACATTATTTTTTAAGTTTAGAAAATGCAAAGAGAGGTTAATACTATCAATGATTTCATTCCAGTCCATCTTAGATTTTAAAAGGAAAAAAAACCAAAAAACAATTTAAGAAGAATCTACAAATAATGCTGATATTGGAAAAAGCATTTTAGACCATCTTTACCTGTGCTGCTCCTGTGATCATATTTGGAATGAAGTCCTTGTGGCCTGGAGCATCCATCAGTGTAATTACTTTAGTTGGTGTCTCAAATTTGGTCATACCCACATCCATTGTCACTCCCCTTAAATAAAGCATACATGCAATGCACAATAAAAACTGCTTTAAAACTTCACAGAGACAAAGTAAGCTATTAAAAACACAACCATGAAATTATACCCTTCATATCTTTCACTGATTTCACCTTCACCATAAGGATACCTGTATGCTGGAAGAGCAAACCTCTAGAGCTGTTTTAGTAAATCCAGTTGTGAAGAAAAATACCCAGAATTCCCAGTACTACCATGCACCCTTAGACTGTGCCCCAAAAAGCACAGCAAAAACATGAAAATTGAACTGCATATCTAAATCACTACTAATTATACTTTTGATATTTAGTTCTTCAGAAAAAGATAAGAGAAATATAGCTGAGCTTAAAAAAAAATAGGTGGTATAGGACTATAGAGATACAGTTACACATTTGCAAAGATGCACAGGCAGAACTCCAGATTACCAAGGAAGGATCACAACACACTTGGACTCAGTTCCACCTCTTGCTACTCTCCACATGTTCTGCATGACACACAGGATAGGATCCATCTCAGCACATGCAAACACCTACCATGCACATGTCTGTATCTGGGTTAATCATCTGCATCTCCCTTTACAGACAATCAAGAAAGACAGGAACTTTCAAGGGACAAAACATCTTGTAGTAGAAGATACTTTTAATAGGCTGCTTCCAATCACCAAAAAATCCCAACAGCAAAATAAGCCCCCCAAAATCCCACACATTTACAGATTATTCCAGAAAGTTGTGGTTTTTAAAATAAAAACTCAAAGCAAAGAGAACATAGAATCAAAAATCAATCAACCAAAAATACCAATTCAGAAAACTCATTTCTTCAATATAAAAATGCAATTTTAAATTTCATAGTTCAAATTAATAAAGGCCTTTTATAAAGCATACAAATATTGTTAATTTAATTAATTTGTAGATTTTATTTTAAAAGTAATGTAAGTCACACGTGATGAACTGACATTTCAATGCTTAGTTCATCAGACTAATATTTTCTGACAAATGCTGTTCTTTCACAGAAAAAAAGGTAACTCCCATCAAAATGTATTTCTACCTTTCTCTTTCTTCACCAGTTTCATCCAAGACCCATGCATAGGCAAATGAAGCTTTACCAGCCTTTTTAGATTCCTGTTCGTATTTGTGCATCGTTCTTTTGTTCACATTTCCCAAAAGGTACAGCAAATGACCCATTAAAGTACTTTTGCCTGCATCAACATGTCCTGTGGAAGAAAATAAATATTACAGCAATTTTATTCATTTATGTAATTTAGGTCTAGCACAAGAAATATTCTAAACATATGAACATCACATGCGATGATAATGCTTCTGTAATCCATAGAACTTCACAATCCTGTGAGACACAGAGACACAGGAATACAGGTTATTGTAACAACCTATTGTAACAGCCATAGAGCACCTCCAAATTCATGCTAAAAAGAACATGCTGCAACAATGAAACCAAACATGGTCTGTATGCTCAAAGGGACTCTAAGTCAACCTCACTGTCCAAGTCAAAGACATCTGAATGTACTCCCTCCAAAAGCTGCAGAAGGAACTGGAAACAGTATGAGATCCTCTTCCCCTGAGTGAGGAAAGTTTAGCTTGTGTATCACTTCCAGATTCAATCAACACAGTTTTTAAACTTTGTTTGTCAGAAATGTAATTTAACAGTATTACCTATTACCACCAAATTCAGCAGTTGCTTTCCTCCTTGTCTCTTCTCCAACTCTGCTTTCACATCTATTTGTGGTTTTGCCTTGCTTGACTTTTTTGCTGGAGTAGGCACCATATTCTGCTCTTCTGAAACCTGCACTACTTGGGGTGAAGGAGTAGATTTTGAGACAGCCTCAAGTGCCCCAGAAGCTATACTGGCATCTTCAGGTAACAGTCCTTTCTGAGGTGTATTAGTGTGGCCATTTTCCTCAGCAATTGCACTAGGGAAAAAAAGAAAACACAAAGAATGCAAATGGAAAAGAAGACATAGACATAGGGGACAGAAATTGAGTTTTCCATTCACTATCATGTAAGCCCCAGGGAGTATGTGATAAGCCCATTAAGGTGGAACTGATAAGCAGCTGGATAAAAACTGCACAGATGCCAGCTCTGAATATCTTGTCTGAAAAGCAGCACTGTTTACAAAAACAAGATAAGATGAAATCTTGTAAAATATATGAAACAGATAAACAAGCTTTCCATAGACCTTTCCTTTAACAGGAAGGGGAAGGACAATTATGCAGAACAACCACAGAGCAGGTTTCCTCTGAACTAAGAGCCTAAGTCAACTTTGAAGCACAGATCCTGAAACAGTTTCCACGTACAGTACCCTTACTACAGTTCAACATAGTAATCTTTTATTCTGAGAACAGTGATAGAACATAAAGAGTTGATATTAAGCACATGTAAGCTGCAATTTAAAGTGCAATGCTTATACAGAACTGTAACAAGATGAGTTAAGATTTATCAATATTGAAAAAAAATTGTTTCATGCATCAAACAAGAAACCCAGGACTAAAGAGATTTGGATTCTCAAACTCCATTTTTCTAACACCCTGTTGTACAAATCACCATACTAATCCTAATGATAAATAATCTCAAATATATATTTTCTTACACTGTCTCTTTTTATCTCCATTTTATAAATGAACATATTTTCCTGATCGACACAAGCTTTTGGAGAATGTACAATATTATTCTTTATTTGTCATAGCAAAGATGATCACTAAAAACAAACACTAAGTAAGATTTTAAAGACAGCAAAAGCTTTCTTACTGCCTGATAGAGTTGCATGGTGAGGCATTAATGTAAGAAACAAGACTGGAACAGAAGCACTTTTTACAGTTCTGCCAACATTCTATCACAGCAAATGTCAATATACAAAGCACTGGTTATACAGAAAACTAAAATCCTTACAAAACACTATACTTAAAATTTTATCCAAAGGGAAGAAGCTTCTTCCCCTGGAAAACTGGAAATCCGTTCAAGTTCAGTACAATCATGCTGCAGATTGCTTTCTCTGGAACAGGTTCATGCAGGCTCTCAGTCAAGTGCTTCCGCATCCACACTGAAATTTTCACTCTCCATCCACTTTCTGTTTACATGCCACAATTAACTACCCAGTTTTAATCTTTTAGACTTCTACAAACAAAACTATTTGTTTTGGTACTTTAGAATCCCACATTGTGACATCTCAGCTTTTATTTGACATTATTTCTCATTTTCTGTCTGCGTAGGAGTATTTGCATTGCGTTAGTCCCTTTCCATTACACAGACTCATGGAACAACACAGCCTCAACACATTAGTCTACTAAAGAAAGCTGTTGAAAAGTTATGATCTAAAAATTTAAACATTATAAATGTTCAGATCAAATGCAAACTTAGCCTCTCATTAGAGCAATAAGTAACACGTGACATTTTATGGCTCCCCCTTCTTCCCCACAGTTTCAGAACCCACCTGTGTTATCAGTACTGCAGCAGACTGATTGATTTTGACACCTTTTTATAAGGCCCAAAGCCAAGTTTTTCTCTTGATTGGGAGACCAAAGCAAAAATTCCAACACTCATTTCTTTTGGCTACAAAATACAAGGTCAGGTTCTTGCCTCAAGGCTGAATACCCAGGGTTTTTTTTCAAAACCCAAGGTCAGGTTCTTGCCTCAAGGCTGGATACCCAGGCATGCTTCCCAAATTAGCTAAGCAAACAACCTGTTTTACGCCAACTGTGATGGTTGCAGGGGTACAGATGGTACCTGTGCTTCTGCATAATGAATGGGTAGACAATTCTGTATAAAGTCTATTTGATATTAAACAAAATATAGATTCATAAAGTCTTTTTATATTTTTGTATTAAGTCTTTTCTAAAAAGTTATTCTACAAAATATTCTAAACCACTTGTAGGAGAAGGACAAGTAGCTTGATAGAAGGAGAAGTAGCTTGATAGAAACTACTGCCTTGGGTCACACAATCTTGACATTCTAGAATTCACACTACAAAGCCAACTGTTCTGTATCAGCAACTATCACTCCCATGTTACAGATAGCATTGCAGCTTGACAAGCTGAATAACCTTGATAACACTTGATTCTTTAAACTAAAACAATAGTTGGTCATCATTGCTTTACATGTAGCAATGAAGAAAGTTGATTACATACAAATTATTCCACGGGGAAAAAGCCAATACAATTATGCTATCTTTTACTGGAAAAGGTAACGAAAGGCTCTGCCTTTAAAATTCTTTAAATAGTACATTAAGTATTAGCTAAAAACCTACTTTGGAATGGCAAAACAATTATTTTCTCCAATGTCTCTGCAGGGAAATTTTACTTCATGAAAACAGACTGGAAACAATCGAGTTGATAGAGGGTAAATATACAGAGAATTGTGATAAAGTTTTCTACATATTGTAATAAGTTATTAAAAATCATCTGAATGGTATAAAGTATAACAAATAATTTTTGTGTCAATCATTTAAGAGAGCCTCACATATTTACAATTAATTTGCATTAGACAGCTTTAATCAAGATTAAGACTCTTCCATCTTTTTTCTCTTTCTTTAGGCAAATCAGTTCAGTCTCAGCATAACATCTAGCATGTTAACATTGAAGTACCAGGACTAGTGCCAATATGCAAAGGTCACACTGAAATGCAAATATGGTATTTTACATTGGTATCAAGTTTTCTTCCTTGAAAGTCTAATATTTGAAGTTCTGGAGAAAACTATTTGTATAAGAAGTCATATCAAAACAGCCTTTACAGCCGGCAGTAGTTTTCTCTCCTTTTCGGTGTATGCATTTCTTCCCAAACCAAATTTTCAAAAGTGAAAAAAAAAATAAAAGGCAGTTATTTAGATGAAGCTGAAAGTAATGCGACCCACAAACATAACTCTCCTATTTTTGTATAGCTTTCCAAAATATATTCAAACATTGTCACATCAGCCTATTAAGAGACAAGAATGTATTTTCATAGAGGTTATTTGCAAGCCTCTAAATTTTATTTCATTAAACTAGGTAATGATTCTTTTTCTAATCCCATATGGTAAGATCCTCCTGCAGGCCAAAGCCAATGCCAGTAAGGATTCCCCAAAATAGGATGGATTTTGTGTGATAGAATACAAACTACTTACAGCATCTGAAAGAACCATGGTTATTGCCAGAGACCAAGTACTCTCTCATTTCTATGTAGTTTTTGTTGCAACCACCACTGCTTAAGGCTGCCAAATAGCTTTTGTTTTGGGTGGTGCAAAGAAAAAGTGCTAGATACAAGTGAAATTAGTGAAACAGAGCTCCAGCCATCATTAGGCCTTGCTACTTTTTCAAGGGTGCACTATTTGAACAGTCAGTACACTGCCAAAGTTAAAAAATTTCAGATATTACTATGTTTTGGAAACCTGGAAACAACTTGTGCCACAATAAACTTAGACTTGCCATTTCAGAGAAGAAACATCAGAATGGAGAGAGCATATGATCTACTTACAGACCACCCCTAATAACACAATGCAGCTTTCTGTTGAACAGCATCAGAGAAAGGGAGAGCGAGTTTATTGCTAGGTGCCTAAGCAGGAAAGCAGGCAGGTTAAATTCCACTCTCATGGAAGTACATGAAAAGAAATGCAACAGTATGACCCTGACAGTTACTTATACTTCATGGCAACCAGTTGAGCAGTTTACTGAAAGCTTGATAACAGCTCAGAAAAATGCTAAGGAAATCCATTTCTGACAGTCAATAAACAAAAATGAATGACCTTGGAAACGCTCTTCAGCTAGCCTCTTCCCACAAGGTTTTACAAAATTACTGAACTGAAAACCCTGTCAGAAGGCAATACTAGTGTGTCACTAGTGCAGGCAGTTGAGAATATAACCAAGTCAACTGCACTAAAAAGCATCTTTGGTAGCAAAGTTGTAGCTTGGTCTGAGCCATGACAACCTACCATATGAAGAAAAATTTATATTGGAGGAAGATTGCTAGGGTTTAACAATCCTAAACCATTGCTTGCATCATTGTTTGAGAAGTTGATGGAACTCTCAAAAGCAGTCTCAGTTTGCCAACCAGTGCTGTCTGGTAACATGGAGCCATTGATTGATTATGTAACTCAACTTCTTTGACAGGACAGAGCTATTATGAACCTTGCACATGCACTGAGATGATGTACTCAAGAAAGCTTGGCCATCAGCAATTCAGGCATGAATCTCAAAACAGCCTATCACAGCTCTTTTGGAAATCACCAGACAAACCAAAGCCTGGCAGGGACCAACATTTAGTAAAAATTAAAACTGCCAGGCCAGAAATTTCCTGTGCTGTCTTGCCAACAAGACCTTAACAGTAAACTGAATGTTATGGTTACATAACATTTACATTACATTTTCCTGGGGAATATTAATAAATACAACATATACTGTTATAAGACATGTTAGAAGGCATTCAATCTCCCACAAGTATTGAAAGGTTCACACCACCACGTACTCAAAGAGGAACCTGAAAGCTCATCTGCTCAATATTAACACTTCAGAATTTAGCTTTTAAACATTATTTTCAATCTTCTAGTCTCGATGCTGGGTGAATTATTTTTACACAACTGACTCTTTTGGAGTACTTACAGTCATTACAGAAATGTCTACATTTATTTCCCCTTTCAAAATTATTAATTACAAAATATTGGTCAGACTAGTTAAAATAATCAGCCCTTTTTTGGTCACAACTTCTTCCGGCTTCCTTTATTACTTAACAGAAAGAAAAAGCCCAGTAAACAGTTTTGCTAGAGCATCAGTTTACCAGCAAACTCCATTTTCTGCAGACAATCCCACTAAAAATACCCAGCAACAAAGGCAATCAATGTTCAAAGCAATTACTGACTTCTAATAATCCATCCATTTCAAATAAGATTCACTAATTAATATGAGGTTATACCTCAAAACAAGACTGAATCATAGACTGAATAGTTAGTCAAAGAATGGGGGTTTTTGCTAATGCAAGGCTGCTGTTTTTAAAAACATGATCCAAAAATTACCTTTAAGATCCCATATGGGTAACAACAAAACTAGTTCATATGTACTATACAATTTCCTTCTAATGGTATCTGCACTGGCACCATACAAATACTTTGGAGTAATAGTAGAGGGCACAGTTACAAACGTTTTATAATCCATTAAAATGCTTTGAATAATTTATACTGGTGCTTTTGGTCAGTGGCATAAACTATATACCTAAAAAAACCCTGTTTTATTATAAACACCCTGCAGTAAATTAACAATGAAACAAGAACATAAAGAACTTATAAAAAGGGTCAAAGGAACAAGTCTTTCTTAGGTGTTAATAAACACAGATTCCTTCTGTTCCTTAACAGGTTATCCTTATCCTGCCATTAATCCAGAAGGTAATTGCAGAAGAAAAAAACCAACCCTAATACTCATTGAATTGAGGTGGAGGTCCATGTTTAGAAATAGATGATTATCTGCTTCTATCAAGTCAATACCATAGGCCTTGGCAGTGCCTCCACAGTAGTCTGTTAGGCAAAAGAAGAAAGAAGGGCCTCATCAGACTCCTTGAAGAAGAGATCTTTAAGACATGCAGGTAACTTTAAATTGTATCTTCTTCCATATTCATTGATTGGCTGTGCTCCAAATCTCATGCTCTTTTACAAATCATTCCACTTCTTACCTATTCCTCCCACTTAAACCTAAATACCTTAAGTATATCCAATTTCTACAGTAAAAATAAATTTGTTTTCAATTAGTATCTCTGCAGTACCACTAAGTGAGATGATTTAAAAACCATCTTCACTATTGTAGAATGACAGAATAGTTTAGGTTAGAAAGGGCCTTTTAAGGTCATCTAGTCCAAACCCCCTGCAATGAGCAGGGACATCTTCAACTATATCAGGTTGCTCAGAGTCTGGTCCAGCCTGATTTTGAAAGTTTCCAAGGGTGGAGCATCCACCACCTCTTTGGGGAATCTGTTCGTGTTTTAACACCCTCACTGTAAAAAACTTCCTTAAATACGATCTAGACCCTCTTGCAGTCTAAAACCATTACACCCTTTGTCCTGTTAGAACAAGCCCTCCTAAAATGTCTGTCCCCATTTTTCCTATACACCCGCTTTAGCTACTGGAAAGCTGGAATGAGGTCACTCCAAAGCATTCCCTTCTTCAGGTTGAGCAACTTCAGCTTTCTCAGCCTGTCTTCATAGGAGAGGTGCTTCATCCCTCTAACAATCTCGGGGGCCTCCTCAGGGCCCATTCCAACAGGTCCATGTCTTTCCTGTGCTGAAAACCCCAGAATTGAATACAGCACTCCAGATGGGGTCTCACAAGAGCAGTATTAAGGATTTATCTAGAGGATTTACCCACAGGTCCTGAAGGCTTAATCTTTTTCCAGCCACTTAACTGTAAGCAAGCATGATACAAACTATGTCAGTGACCCTGAAAAGAAGCAGAATGGCTGAGAACCATGTTGGAGACAACCACCTCTCATTAGAGACTGAGTCATCACTAGCCTATCCAAGACGTACTTAAGTCTACAGATGAAGAAACATTCCTCTTATCTCCTCCTTCCCTGTGGAGCAGGCACACCTGCTAAGTATCAGATACAAAATTCTGTATTTGCTCTTTTTTAGAAAAAAAGATTTTAAATAGCCATTATTACAGATTAAAAGAAAAAAAAAATCAATCACAACTTCATAAAATTAGCTAGCAGATCTTCTTCACTCACTGAATATTCCTTTCTTTTTCTAAACTTCTATCCAAATTAAATTACTACATAGAAGTCCCCATGAAAAACTCTAACTTCTCAGAAGTTTAGTAAGAACATAAGAGATGAAGGTGCCTGGAACTTCATGAGTCCAGTTGTCAAACCCAGAGTCACTGACTAGTAGACAGCAAGTGAAAAAAAAATTACACTTCCTTTATATATTGCAATTCTCAAACAGTACAGACAAAATATTTTGTGAGTCCCAGAAATTTTTCATTTGGAACTTATTGCATCTAAGGCGATTGAATGAAGGTGATGTCTTTTAGCAATGGCATTTAGTAGCATAAAGGAATAATGACATCAATTTCACACCTTATATTAAATGTGCTTAAGTAGATGAAACTGCTTGCTTTCCATTCAGTTATCAAACATGCACAAGATACTGTAAGATAAAGACTATGCTGCCCTCTTACTCCCAAGAATGCTTTCTAGATCAGAAATACAAACCCTGCAGGATGAGGTTGGGATGTTGGCACTTACACTTGAGAATTTTTTTACCTCAGGATGAACTGTGGAATTTCTTGCCAGAGATTAGATAGCTATTGTAAGACTGGGTTCAAAAACAGAATAAGGGTACCCAAGTAAGAAAAATACATTAACCAGTCTTAATAGAAACAGTCGCAACCAAAAAACAAATAAAAATTGTGGGGAACCACAATATGTCATGGACCATATTCCCAATATACATGCCCTGTCCTTATATATTTAACTATTCACTGCTGGCTATTGCTGTAGGTAGACTCTGATTCAGATGTCTGTATTCTTGCTCTCATGAGACATCCCCCTTAACAGTTCCAAGTCAGGATAAAATTAGAACCACTAATTTAGCTATAGCACAAGTAGGACCAAACTCTACAACAGTTGTACCCTGGACACCTGTTAAAGTTAATAAAAGCTGCAGAGGAAGGTATGATTTAGCCATAAGTGATTGTTTTCCCCATCAACTATTCTTAAATACATTACTTCCTTTGAAGAACAAGCAATTACAGTTAAGATTTATTGATTTCATAATTCCACTTAGAGAACTAAATTTAAAATAAAACGAACACCAAGAAAGTTCAGTATTCTATGAAGCGGATGTTTAAATAATCTGACTACCTGATATCTCTATGCACTATTCATAGTGAAAGGATTTGTTAAACTCAAAACGTGAGGTACTATCTTCTGAAAGTAATTCTGAGTCAAACAAGAAGCTGAGATGGTTAGTTCTGAAGAGTAACACTAAAACTGCTGTGAAAAATAGAAAAAAAAAATAAGAAAACTTGCTACAGGTGCATCAGTCTGAAAGAGGAGCTGCTGATGTACCTTGATGTATGAGGGCTTGGCTTACCATGGAACTTCAAATCCCATAGATTGTTTCTTTCCAGACACTGTCATTTTGGCAATTTTTGGCACAATTTCAGATTCCATTCTGGCTGACTGGGAATCCCTTGTTTTTCCTAGTAATAGACAAAAAGTAAGTTTGAACTTAAGGTTGTGACTAATAGGTGTCAAATATAAAGTTTAACAAGTCCCATTACTTCTCTCCGACCCAACAATACCAGTCCTTCATGACCAACTCTCACATTTCAGTGTCTTATGGGAATGTATTACATAATTAATCAAAATAATCTACAGTTAGATCTATTGTGAAAATCTCACATCTATCTCCAAGCACTCACATGACACCTACACTACGAAAGAGCTTTACTAGAAGCAGCTCTGCAGGATGCCAGAAGCATTTCATGCAACACAAGATAAAGAAATAGTTTGCAGCCACTCACTAGATAATTAGATTAATTCTTCTTTAGAGATTTTCTTTTGCCTTAATATTGCTAATATTGTAAAGCAAAAAAATATATCCAACTCACAGAATACTAGCATCAGCACCAGCTATGTGTGGGCTGCAGTGCCTTGCCTGAAACCTGAAAACAGAGTTGCCTTGTACTGAATTACAATCAAGAAGCCAAGCAATACTCCAAAGCTAGCTAATTTCAAGGTTATTTAGAATTAATTACCAGAATTTAGTAACTGAATTAAAGGTATTATCTTTTACCATAACTTAAATGAAAACACAATTAAAGTTCATTCTTAGTTTTGTGAAACTAGTTGCACAACTAATAGCACTACAGTGCTATTTGTTTCTTATCAAGCTGTAAAAAAAAAGACAAATTATTTACTCTGCAGAGGAGGGGTTTATATAAAAGAAGCAAACTAGACATTTTTTTTGCACAGTTCCCTTGTTATTATTTTAGGATCCCTTTTTCCTTAAAGTAAAAAACTTCCTGTATTACAGCATTTGTGACAGCTGCTGCACATTGTGTTCTGAAGGATGTTACACACATGACAAAGCAAAAAAATAACCCAAATTCAGAATTAAGCTGCAATTTTTAAACATGCTTTACCGAGTGTATCTGAAAACTAGAAAAACACCACTATTCTTCCAGTATTGGACCAGTTTGGATACTCAAGAGTCAAGTGAATACCAAGTTACTCTTTCAAGTATTTTAGATACACTACATTAGGACAAACTGTCGGAGACATTTGGCCCTACTCATTTATGTTAATGCTGCACTTTCTTCTAAAGCACAACAGCTACACCTTTAAACCACAAGATCAAATTGGTCTGTAGGTTACATAAATGATTGCGGTCAAGACTGCTGAAGATTTCAGGCAAGGAAGCAGAATACCACAGACATGTCTACAACAGCAAACAATCACAATACAGATGGAGACATTCTTATTTATCTGATGACTTGGTCTTCATCTCCCTCATTTGTCTTATCTGCTGATACTCATTTTATTTATATGCCACCTGCAGATCTCTGCAAGAAGTAGTCTGTATGTAGTTTAGGAATTGTTGCATACAAATAAGAAACAAAATTAAGAGAAATAAAGGCAACAATAGAAAGCAGGCTTACAAGGATCTCAAATCATGTACCTAACAAATACAAACATTCAGAATATAAAATTCTCACTGGACAGGGCCTGTTAGTTAAGCACAAAGATTGTGTTTCATCTTCAAACTCTTAAATAGATGGCTTATAGCATTTTTTTAATAAGAAAACATTTCAGTTACAATAAAAATTACATTATTTCTGTTGCCCAATTGATATGATATTTTCTACATCAATTCTAACCATTTTCAAGCAGACATCATTTTCAACTAACAGGTAAACATGAATGCTTTACATGTCATTTGAAAGCTGAATTCTCAGAAAATACCATGTTTTAAATCTGGCTACAAGGAACTAATAATTACAAATAGCACAATTAAATTGAAATGAGATTAGTTGAAAGAAAAGACAAAAATTAGTATTGTATAACTTGAAAATAACATGCAATCTATTAGTCAGAAAGTCAAAGGTTTTACAAAACATCTTCTCTAATCAATTTCAAAATTAAGCTTTACTCTGTACAAACAATGCTGCAATATTTGACACAGACTTGAAGTTAAATTGTACAAGGAGACTTAACACATTCAACAAATGGAGTATTTGAGACAGAAAAAAACCCTTAAAACTAGAATTTAGGAAACACTACAAGTTGAAAGAAGATACAAAACTAAAATCACAAAGAACAAGAGAAAGTAAAATAACAGTCCATTGAAGCTGACAGTTTGGCTAGTTCTTTATTTATATATACTTCAGTTTTATAAGTACCAATAACAATAATAAATAATTATATAAATAAATAAATACCAAAGCATAGGTGCAGCAAGGAAGCAGACTGGGATCATATAAAGACAAATCAAACCATAGAAATAATCCAAGAATGGCGACATTCATACAGATGAAAAGGCAAGGCAAGAATTATTAGTAACACTACTGATAGAAGCATCAAATACAATTTTCAGCCTTCAATGTTTTTATAACCAAGTACAATAAAATCAAGCAGAACATTTGAGATAAGGACCAAGTCTGTCTTTTATGCAGTGCAGGCGCCATTAAAGATTAATAATTATGGCTTTATTACAAAGGACAGAAGGCTGGGAAAGGAGTCTACTTCACTATCTAATCTATAGGGAACCGGAGAAAACTGCATGATAAATTCTTATCTGCTCTAGCAGGCAAAGCAAAAGCTATTCGGCACTTAACAGATTGCATGCAAATCCTTAAATTGCACCTTGGAACTAAAAGGAAGTCAATGCACAAAGCTGATACAATTTTAAAAACACTTCTTAATCTAAAAGCAGGGTACCCTACGGCAGCTGAAGCGTACTACAAACCCAGAAAAAACATAGAAACAGTAATCCCAATCTGATTAGGACAAGAGCAGCTGTGGAGAATCAACTTCTGAAGGGAAAGGATTACAAGAGTATACAGATTTTTACCAAGAAGGCCTTCATAAAGTACTTCGTATCCAATGCCATTTGGACATTCTCAAACACATACCTAGGTAATTCAATGGCAGTACATTTCCTAAATCAAGAGTACAGATAAAATAAAAACAGATACATCTTTCAAAAATTTCAAAATATGTCCCAATACCTTGTTACATTTCACTGCTCTAAGCGTTGCAAGAAATAAATCTAAGTGTGTATCCTTACAAGTAAATGCACTGATTGACAAAACACTAGGAAAATGTAAAAAATTTCTTTCCACAGAAACACATAGCATATATTTATAAATAATAAAAAAATAAAACTGAAAATAAAAAAGTAAAATCTTAAATGCTCATAGCATGATAGTTCTCACAATTCAGAATGTTCAGAACCCCAAACTTCCAGCCTATTTTAAGCAAAGTAGTTTCCAGAGAGGTATTTGGTACTTAGACTGCACTAACATCAGAGTACCTAGACTAAAGCACACTGTAGCTACAAGTCAAAACACTACTACAAAACTAAGTGTATTGATGAACCTTGTCTCAGTATTAAACTGGGATCAGTCTAACACCAAAGGGAACAGACAGACCTGCACTGCCATTACCCCAGTACAACTGGAGTGTATGACACCTTGACAAAGTTCTCTTCTATTATTCTTGGCTGTGTTTTTACCTTTCCTGTGACTGCCATTTGGTCTTCTGACTTAACAGACTCACAAGTCTGTTAAGACTTACTCAAAAAAGTATTACTAATGACACCTGATATAACTTCAAAATTGTTAGCAACAGAACCCCAAAATCTGATGGCACAATAAACTACCTGCAGGCTGATAAATATAGATGATGAAGACAGACACAAATACATATGGAGGAAGAAGTAAAACACTGGGACAGTCTTTAAAAATTAACACAGTCTCTCTAGATGTTCAGGATGGAATAGTAGAAGTATATAGATTTAGTCAACCACCTTCCTTTACTGTGAGCAATTCCCTCTGGATTTCTTTTCTAAAATAGTTTGTAAGCAGTACCTGTAGAAGATTTGTACAAACAAATCAAAACATTACTCTGACTACATTATCAAACATAACAGGCTTGATTAGTCCTTTTTTCAATTTTGATTCATATATATACACTTAACACTGAAAGTAACAGGAAGGCAAACATTAATATTTTCTCTAATTTTGTTGGAGGTATGGAAGGTTTCAGTAAATGGAAGAGTTGACTGACAGTGCAGTCTGTTCCCAGGTAGTTTAGGAGTGAATGAAAAGAGCCACTCTCTCAAGAAAGACACATTGATACCAAATGGATATTGGCATATTTGGAAAAATACACACTAGCACTGGGTATTGAAATCCACACTGACTTTGCTCAGACGCCATATCTTTCTAACAGCAGAAACAAAATGCCACTGCTTTTAACTCCTATTCACAGAAGTTTCTCCTCCCAAGCAGTCTTTCACTAGTCAAACTCAAAATTAGTACTCTACACTCAATTAGCCCACTGCATAGAGAAGCCTGTTTCTGATACAATGAACCAGAATGTTTCATGTGCCTGAAATCAGCTTGAAAAACAAAGACAAATTTCCAGTCAGGCATGTGTCAAGCCTATGCTTTTTCAGGTGGCAATCCCATTTAAATAAATCCATGTCTACTCACAAACCAACTACTAGTGGTATATAAGCACTGGCAAAGGATCACACCTCCAAGGGAATTACGTTCCAATTAACTGTAAGCAGCTTGCAGACAATTTTTCACTTGCTTTTGGCATTTTTCTTGGTTATACTGTTTCTTCACTTTTCAAAACTGGATGTGCACTTGAAGGCAGCTGCATACTATTTCAATTTGGAATGCGGCTGAGGATCTTACATTTAACTGACACTTGATAGACAGAATAAAGTTACTTAACCAGGTCCTCCTAATGCTGTCTAAACCAGCACTGCCATAAAAAACACACATGCAACACCATGCTTTCTAATCTGCAAGACATGGTTTGCATCCTTTCCTCTGCTACAGACTTTCTATATAACCACAAACAAGTCACTTACACCTCTGTCTGCTCATTATACAGCAACAGCCACCAATTACATAAAAGATAACAGGGCACTGGTTTTGTGCACCATGTCATGAGCTGGGTGCAC